GCCACCAGGGAGGCCGTGGCTTCTCCGGCCCCGGAAGGCGACGCCGCACCGAGCAAGGACGGCGAGGGCACCGAGGAAGGGGCAAAGGATGAGAAGAGCGAGAGTGAGGACGGGGAGCGGGAGCACGAGGAGGAGGGGGAGAAGGACTCCGAGAAGAAGGAGAAGAGCGGGGTGACCCACGCCGCCCAGGGCCGGAGCCAGGCCGAGCCCACCCCCGTGCCCTCGTCTTCCGGTAGAACTGCCCAGGACGGGGGGCATCAGACTATACCGGGGCCCCAGCTCGACCACACTGCCGACCCCACGGACCAGCCCGATGACACGAGGGGTGCCCGCCTGGGCTCTGAGTTGGTCACCTCCACCCAAGTGCCCCCCACAGTCACAGAGGAGCCCTACGAAGGGAGTGATCGCAAGAGTCCTGCACTGCCATCTAAAAAGCCCATGTCCCGAGGGGACCGCTTTTCCGAGGACAGCAAGTTCATCACTGTTAACCCAGGTAGGTGGCATCCTCATCCGGGCTCTGTGCTCTGTGAAGAGCCTTGCCCTTTAAAAATAATTGGGTTAGGTGTGCCGATCCAGAACGTGCCAGCGCTCCCGTAATGCCTGTGCCAGGGACGGAAGATGTGTGTGTGTCTGTGTTTTATTCCAGTAAGAGTAACCTGCTTCTTGACTGTTGCTGGAATAAGTCTTGCCTTGATCTTTGTTCCTGGTAAAATCTACTTTCCTCAAAGTAACTCTAAGGATTTCAACTGCGCAATGAAGTACATGACTAAAGATGGCATCAATATTAAATTTATCCATGAAGATGTAATTCCTTATTCACTTATTCAACCTGTGATGACGGACTGCCTGCTTGGTGCCAGACACTGGGCTGGGTGCTAACCAGGTGAGCCTGGCCCCGCCCCGTGAAGTTCATGGTGCGGAGGGGACAGCGGTGCTGGCAGGTACTGGGGTGCACGCCGGGAAGCAGGAGGCGGGATGGCAGAGAGCAAGCAAGGAAGGCGGCTGGGCTGGAGGCAGAAAACGAGCTCACTGAGGGGGGAGGTTGTGAAACGGGAACAGAGGGAAGAGGGTGCTGTGGGAGAGGACGTGGAGAGTGAGATTCGCATGGAACCTAGCGGATGAGCGGCTCACGTCGGGAGAGCTGGTATAGCCCGCGGTCCCACCCCAAGAAACAGGGCTCTCCACCCAGAGCCCCAGGTTACAGGGGTGAGGCCCGGGCGTGGCTGGTCAGGCCTCTGCGGTGAGGATGTGATCTGTCACCCTGACCGGTGGCAGTTTTGCTTTGTCATATGTTCAGATGTTAATGAACCCCCTCCCCCATGGTGTCTCCGAGGAAGCCTTGAGCATCAGGGGTTGTTACTGTTGTGAGGTGTTTTCTTAATAAGAAGTCCTTCCTTTTGCCAGACTACAAGATGTTTAACAACAATTTTTTGCATCTAAGCTGTTTGGGAGTTATAAGAGTGCAAAAAAAAAAAGCAACTGGTAAATATTTATTTGCTTTTGCACTTGTAAACATTAAAATTCATCTAAAGCTGAGATCTCGTATGTTAAGATACAACTTAGAATAAATTTTCATGTTTTGAATTGCGTGCTCCCGAAAGCCGGGCTGGCCTCCTTTCTGGAAGTGCGGGCTCCTGTGGGTGCTGCCGCGCAGTGGGTCCTGGTTTAGGGGAAGGTGCCGAGCAGCTTCCGCGGAACTGAGCGCAGGGAAGACCGGGCCACCTGTGAGGCTGTTTGAAGCCATTCCTACAGGAACGGTGACATTCCCTCTAGGAATCGCTGTGAAAAAGTCGAATTTCTTAGACTGGAAGATTTATGGAGTACCCAGTGTGTGCCAGGCACTGAACTAGGCATTGGGAATAGAACACAGATCAAAACGGGCCCCTGCTCTTCTGGGGTTTAGGTTCTAGCGGGGGCGCTGGAATATTCCAGGAAACAAATGCTTAACTCAGTGCCAGAGTGGGCACTCCGACCGTGGAGCCTCGAGTGGTGAAGGAGTGACGTTTGAGCAGAGTCCCAAGTGATGAGAAGGAGCTGGTCATGCAGAGATCCATGTAGGAACCTTCCAGAGACCCCAAAGCGGGGGCTACTTGGAGCAGTCGGGGAGCTGTGGCCAATCTGGCCACCAGTCAGGAGGGGGGTGTGGGATGGCTCAGAGCGGGAAGGGGCTCGTCAGCCAGGCTGAGGACCGGACGCTGACAGATGGAAAACCAGCGGTGGATTTCAGTAGAAGACAGTCAGCCATGAGCTTTTGGGGGAGATGACTCAGCCTCGGTATAGAGATTATGGGGTGGGGGAGGGAGGACGCAAGAGTGGACACAGGAATCCCAGTTCGGAGGTGATGGTGATGGTGCTGGTGGCTGGCCAGCGTGGTTCTCCGAAGACAAGTGGTGGCCCTGGAACTGATGTTCGAGCTTGAGCGGTTCAGGCTCTGCACCGAGGGCTGGCAGAGCAGTGGCCTCGGAGGCTCCTTGTACGCACTGCTCGCCCACATCCTGCGACAGGTGATGCTGAGGGCTGCAGTGGGAGAGTTCACACTGTGAGAGGCTGCAGTGGGGTGGGCCCTGGGGTGTCTCGCAGGTGAGGGAATGAGTCATTGCAGCTGGACTCCAATCCCAGCTCCCGGAGAGAGTGGTGAAGGAACAGACGTCAGCCTGGGGGAGTCCCCGCTCCAGGTGTGGGCGTGTGGGTCCCCAGCTTCAACCGTCAGGAGTCGGAGAGTCTGCAGTCTTGGCAGATTCGCTTTTGGGGTCAGATCACCCAGAAGGCTCTGTGCCTTGTCCACTCAGGGCCCTCGGGCCAGTCTTTGCTCAGTGTCCTTCTGTCCTAACAGCCGTTAGTGCAGAAGGAGGTGTCCATAAATGGAGTCACCTGTCTGTGACGAGGAGGGAGGAGGCCCCAGCTGGTCTGCGTTTCACGGGCATCCTGGACCTTGAGGAGCAGGAGAAGACTGGTCCCCAACATTGAAAATGACATCCCAGAACTCGGCTCCGTCCCCAACACTGCAGATCAGACCGCCTCCCTCAGCGCCTCCATTTCAGTGGGAAGGTTCGCTGCTTCCCGAGGGGAAAGCGATCCTGCTTTAGAATTCCAGGCCATTCAAGTTTCAGGGTGGGGGTGGTGACTGTGCAAGCCAGAGGCCAGCCAACTTGTTCTGCAAAGGGCCAGACAGTAACATTGTCAGGTTTGTGGGCCATCGGTCTGTGTTGCATCTACTCCACGCCACCGTGGGGCCCAGAAGTAACCAAACAACACTGAGCAGATGCGGTCAGTTCCACCCAAACTGTTTACAAAAACAGACGGTGGGCCAGGTTTGATCTGCAAGCCGTCCGTTGCTGACCGGCTCCTCGTTTAAGCTGCAATGTCTGTGCCTGTTTGTCAGGAAAGGATGTAGGTTGAGGGTAAAACCCACAAATCCCCCTCAGTTTGCTTCCCTCCGTCCCTCCCTTTCCCCTGTCTGCCTCCTCCAGCTTGGTATTTATTTTTGAAATGAATTCACTGTCGTTTTTATCTTAGTTGTGACTTACTTCAAAGACCTTTGCATGTACATTTTAAAAAATCTCTTCCACATTTATTTTTTTCTTCACATTAAGTAAAAACAACTATTGCGATCAGTATTTACTATGTGAAGAAAAGTGTTAACATGTAAAGTTACAAACTATGTTTTTACCAGCATCTCCAAGAGACTTGTTTAAATTCACTTGATGTTTGATAACATCTTTTCAAGGCCTATGAGTGGCAGCTTTAGTATACTAATTCACAAGGAAAGAGAGGAGGAGGAATTTTTCTGTTGATGAAATGGCACAAACATAGGCACCTACAGAAATCAGACAGGTGATATCCATGAGAGAAGAGAACCAGGTGCCAGACATTAGGGAGTGGTGAGGACTGTGGCAAACTAGACAGCACATGTCCTTTCTAAAGAGGCCACCTCACTCAGTTCCAGCTGGTTGCAGTCAGTGAGAATGCCTAGTGAGCCAGAAATCCAGGTCTTTGTGCAGCATCTCTCAATTTTTCAGTGAATTCACATTTTTAAAACAATTTCATTTTTGTCTTTCTTATTTTTTCCCCTTCATATGTGCCAACAGGTAGGAACTGTGGTGCTTGGCCTCTGCTGTAGCGTTGGTTGCCATAGTTGCACCTGCCCTAGAAGCTGATCAGATGGATTGGAGGCCTGCAGGCAGGCACTCTGCCTCTCACCACGCGTTTTGTCAGCATCTATTTAGTGTGAAGCCCTCAGTGGGATGTGTGCTGCATGGAAATGCAACATGGTCCCTCTGTCCACAGCCACAGCCTGAATGTGGTAGAGACACCCCCAGAATTCACTAGATGTGGGAAAACGTTCTTGGGGCGGGGTGCAGAACAGAATGCCCTGCAGAAGCATGTCAGGGTGGGCACCGTCTACACACCCAGCACTTAGTGCCAGGGTTTCCTTTCTGGCCTCCATGAATCAAGGAAACCGTTTTTCCAGACTGAATCCTGCTCAGAACCCCAGTTTAAACACCCCCTTCCTGAAAGCTCCTCCGGGCCGGCCCTGAGCCAGTGCTGAAGGAGCAGTCCGGTTCAGGGGTCAGCACACAGTCTCCAGGCCACACCTGGTCCGTGGGAGATGATGTCTGGCTCAGGAGTTAAGACCGGGCAGGGCTGGTCAGAGCCTGGGGCTGCTGTGCTGCTCTCAGCCCGAGTGGGGGATGCTGAGCCCCAGCCACCCCTCCGCTCTGCTGGGCAAAGCCTGAGAACCTCTGGCACTCTCCAGCTCCGAGGAACCCAGCTGAGAACCTCTGATTATGGACACAATGACCCCCCAGTTAGCGTTCATTCCGGGCTGTGCCAGTTACCCTGCAGCGCCCCCGCAAGGGCTGTGCTGGCGTTGCTGCCATTGGGCCAGCGAGGAAACTGAGGCCCCGAGGCTAAGGAAGGTGCCCTGGACGACACAGCCCGTGGCAGACAGGGCTCAAACAGGCCCTGAGTCCCGGGTCGGGAGGCCCAGGGTGCTCCTTCCCCGTGCTTTAGGCTTATTCCCCTAGTGGGCAGCACGGGATGATTGCAGATGAAATGTTCGTTATTTAGTGAATAGTTGAGTGTGTGCTTTAAAAAAAGATAGCAGTTTTCCATTATGGCAGAGGCTCTCAACCATAAATGACCCCCCCCGCCCCCCCCCCCAGGACATGTGGCAACACCTGGGAACGTTTTGGGGGGTCCTGACGGGAGGGGCTGCTGCACCCGACAGTGCGCAGGGCAGTCCCCACAGCAGACTCCCTCATCCGTCCGCAGTGCCGGCTGGGCCGTGGTTGAGAGCCTGATTCACAGTATTAGCAGAAAGTTTCCTTTTCGGAGAAGTTGATGTGAGGGAAACAAGAGTCGTTCGTGCAAGGACAAAAACAAGTTGTGGTGAGGTCCGTGGAGATAGGGGAGGAATCAGGATCCTCCGTTGGAGAACTGCAGGTGGGGAAACAGCCTCCTTTACTTAAACCCCCGCAACCCCTGCGTGAT